ATTAGACCCTGCCAAATGCTTTCACGCCTAGCAGAGTGAGTCTTCATGTCAAATAGCGAGTAGCTTCTATTATTATCCCTCTGCTAAAGACATAGAAATCAGACCTCAGAGAGGTTCGGGCCCCTGCCTAAGGTCACACAGCTCAAAACCACCAAACTGAGAGTCCTACCCCGCTGTGTCTGACTCTGCAGCTCGAGCACCTAAGCTGACCAGCTTTGCCTCCTGAAAGAAGAAGCAGGGAGAGAAACGCCTGTCAGGAGTTGCCGTCTCCTGCGCTGGATTTTTAAAAACCAAAGTAAAGCAGAAAAAACCATTCTGGGGGCACTCACCTCTCTCTTCTTATCTCTTCAGCAGTCCTCCTCTGCCTGCTCTCTTACTTGCTCTCTCCTTGTTTCCTTTTTTTTCATTTTTTCTTTCTTTCCTTCAAATCCACCCCCCACTCCCTTTTACCTTTAACTAATCACTCAGTTAACAAGTTAGCTTTGTGAGGCTCGGGTCGGTACCTAGTGACTGCGAGTGCGATAAAGAAATCAGCCGTCACCGATACAGAAGTCAGAAAGGTTTAAATCAAATCATCCTCCACAACAATGACATTAATTATGCTTTTAACACGTTTTACTGCTTTTTTTCTCACTTCACGCCACATCTGTGTGAACAATATCCAAAAGATTTACGGTTTTCTTTCGTAATTACAGACATACAGGCTGCACACTTATCAAAATACTTGCTGAGCCATCACGCCATATCGCACTCTCTGCCAAAGATTTGTGTTGGCAGCAGTCATTCAAAACAAAAATGTTGAATCAGGACTTGCGTGGCTTTGGAGGGGGGTGGAAAGTATTTCGACAAATAATTTGCCTGTCAAGAAATATAAAAACAGGAGAGTGTGCATCCTGGCAAATTTTCCAGGAGTGTTATTTTTCTGGAGGGGGTTGGAGCAGTGTGTGTGTGTGTGTTGGCAGGGGGGGGGGAGAGTGCGCAGGGGAGCTCCAAGCACCAAAACCACATCTGACATTTGGTTCTTGTGTCTGAGGATAAAATTTAATGAGAACAAAAATATGTCTTCCTAATTCCCCTAAGAAATCATTAAAACATTTTGTTATTCTTAAATGTCTCGAAAATGAATTAGAGCCCCTAAAGGGGCCGTTCGAACGGTCTGTCTCCATCAGTTAAGGCTCCTTGTTCTCCAACTCAGTGATAGCTAGGGACATACGTCTCCCCCGCCTCTCCATTTCTGGGGAGCAGAGTTGCGAAATCAGACGCGTGGAGTCAGCACCAGACTTGGAACAACCCCTTTGCGGGGAGGGGCCGGAGGGCATGAGGACCTTCTGGAAAGCTCTGCACCGGTCTTGAGAACTCTCACAGTCCCTGGCTGGCACTCTGGCCCTGTGACTGTGTTATCAGCCCTATCTCCAGAAAGATGAAGGTTTCACGGTGAACCCCAGAATTAATGACTCTTTTCTAAGCAGGGGCCGTAGCCTCTCCTCACGCTCAAGCACTAGACTTGCCGGTGCTCCCCTAGGTTTGTCATGAGCAATGATTATTCGAGGGATGATCATGGTCACCTCGGCCACCAGAATGCAAGCTCCCTGTGGGCTGGACCCGTGTCTGCATTTGCAGGCTCATGGCTAGGTTCTCAGGGTCTAGCAAGTGCCAGGCACACGGCAGGCACTTTAATAAATGTTATCTGAGTAAATAAACACGTGACAGGCAGAGGGCTCTAGTTGAAAGAGCACCCTTTCATTCAAATAACCTTCCCCCCATTTCTGTATCTGAGTCTTATTTCTCATTCATTCAAAAATTATTAGGTGCTTACTGTGTACCAGGTTCTGGGTATACAAATTCAGTATGATTCAGTCCCAGGCTTAGAGCATTTCACTTCTAGGGAAGCCAGACACATACATGATGATGAGAGTAGCTCAGTCTCCAATTTATACAAGAGGAGGCTGGGACTCAGGGGGTCAATTAATTCATCTGCCGTCACCCAGCAAGTAAGTGGTCCAGGTAGGATTCCAACCTGAGCCTGGAACCACAAGCCTGTCTCAGTGCTGCCCCCTGGTGCTACAGAGGAAGTATATGGGGTGAGAGGAGGAGCCTTGTGTGGGGTCTCCTAGGAGACATTTTTGGGGTCTATTGTGGGTCACTCTCCAATGTCATTTGTCGCTGAGCCTGTGGGACCGTAAGGATTGAAAATTGATGGTAAATAAGAGGGTTTATTTTCCCAATTATTTTTTTCCAGATAACTCTGATGAGAGTAGAGATATAAGCAAAGCACCTGCCAGGAACAGGGCTTCTCAGCCACATGCCTGGTGTGGTCCTCAGGGAGGGTGACAATGGCCAGGGCTGCATACATGGCTGTCTCAGCCTCATGCCCCAGGGCCATGTCCTCATGGTGGGCATAGAGCCCCAAGGGCTATACTGTCCAACCCCAGCTGTTCTCACTGCTCAAACATCCTCCTTGAGAAGACCCACACAGCATGCTGCCCTCCTGGGAGTGGGGAACCGGAGGGTAGGACCAGGGCAAAGAGGATGGAGTCTGCACACCCCTCTGCAGTGGGCTGAATGGTGGCCCCTGAATATATATCCATGTCCTAATGCGTGGAGCCAGTGAATGTGACCTTATTTGGGAAAAGGGTCTTTGGCAGATGTAATTCAGTTAAGGATCCTCTGGAGAAGATCACCCTGGATTATCTGGGTGGGTCCTAAATTCAATGACTAGTGTCCTTATAAGAGAAAAGAGCTGGAGATTTGGGACCCAGACACAGGGAGGAGGGGGCCCTGTGAAGACAGAGGCAAAGACTGGAGTGATGTGGCCACAAGCCAAGAGACACCTGGAGCCACAAGAAGCTGGAAGAGGTAAGGAAGAGCCCTCCTCTAGAACCTTCAGAGGGAGCACAGCTCTGTGGACACCTTAATTTTGGATTTCTGGCCTCCAGAACTACGAGACAATAAATACCTGTTGCTTGAAGTCCCCCAGTTCGTGGTTAAGTTGTTACAGGAGCTCCCCTGGGTAGCCAAGTTGTGACGCAGTGCAGCCACTCTGGACGTATTTGTTGAGCGTGTGGAGACCTGAGCCCCACTGCTCCTGGCTGTGAGACCTCAGGCGTCACACTCAACCTCTGGGTACCCCCGTGAAGGGGGCTGGTTGGCCTGTTCCCCTGGGGCTGTAACATGCAGAGGGTAGAACAACCGCTATACCAGGCGAGTGCTTTTCAAACTTTGACGTGCTCACAGAGCTCGGGGAGCTTGTCTTTTCCCATTTCTGGTGGCCTCAAGTGTTCCTTGGCTTGTGGTCACATCACTCCAACCCGTGTCTGTCTTCACAAGGCCTTCTTCCCTGTATTTCTCTGTGTTCTCTCTTCCTCTTACAAGGACACTAGTCATTGGATTTAGGGTCCACCCTGTATCCAGATGGTCTCATCTCAAGGTCCTTAACTAATCACATCTGCAAAGACCCTGCTTCTAAAGCGTATCATACTCCAAGGTTCAGGGTAGACATGAATTTTGGGAGGACACTATTCAAGCCACTCCAGTTGTCCAAGACAGATGAAATGAGGGACTTTCCCACCCACAAACACAAAGATCCTGGAAATGACCTCGACATTGAGTAGAAATGACTTTGCCTTCTCCATGACTTGACTTAGTTGGGATTTCATTTTCTTCTTCATAAACCCCCCAGTCCCAGTCACCAGATAGCACTGATTCCTGTAGCTGTGTGGAAAGCCCCAGAAAGGATTGGGAGGGAGTTGGCACAGAGGGTCCCCTCCCAGCCCCACCATTGTAAGCAAATCACTTACAGCTCTCTGGGCTCCCTGTTCTGAGTCAAGAAATGAGAAGGTGGCAGAGGAGGGGCCATTTTGGAAAAGGGAAACTTTTTTACAGAGGTGCATCTACGTATCTTAGGGGTACAGGTGAATGTTTTCAAACTACTCACAGCTGTGTAATCCACACCAAGATCAAGAAACAGCATCTATGTTCCCCAAAAACCCCTTGTGGGAACTATCGCCCCCTTCCAAAGAAACCACTCTCTTGACTTCTAACAGCACAGGTTAACTTTTTTTTTTTTTTTAGTTGAGGTGAAATTCTTAGAACATATAATTTACCACTTTAAAGTGAACAGTTCAGTGGGATCTGGCACATTCATGAAGTTGCACAACCACCACCCCCATCTAGTCTCAGAGCATTTTTATCCCCCTAAAAGGAGACCCCACACCCATTAGCAGTCACCGCCACCCCCCCACCCCCCACCCCCAATCTGATATCTCTCTTTTAGATTTGCCTATTTGGGACATTCCATATAAGTGGAGTCTTAGATTATGTGACCTTCGTGTCTGGCTTCTTTCACTCAGCATCATGTCTGTGAGGATCATCCATGTTATAGCAGGTGTCAACGCTTCACTCCTTTTTATGGCTGAATCCTAATTCCATTGTACCACATTTTATTTATCTATTCATCCATTGATGGACATTTGGGTTGTTTCCCCCTTTTGGGCGTTGTGAACAGTGCCGACAGATTAATTTTTGTCTGTCTTCATATTTTATGTAAAGAGAGTCATAAGTATGTGTTCTTTTGGGTTGAGGTTGGCTGCGTCATGTTGGGGAAACATTTGAGGTCTTTCCTCCAGCGCCCTCAGCAGGCAGAGAGCACTGGGCACCATCTGTCCTTTGTAGCAATGGGGTGGGGGTTCTGGCAGGCAAGACACTCAGCTCCCCAAGAAGGTCCAGGTGGGAGATCTTGCCAGGAGCCCCCCAAAGCTTCCTGGCTAACACTGGAAGGTGGTGGGGGAGGATGGAGGAACTGTGTGGGGACATGTCACACCAGACTGGGTGTGGACCCTCTCACCACCCCCCAACAACCCTCTCCTGTGGAGGGCCCAGCCTTCCCCAGGATCCTTGGCTTGTCCCTAGATCCCCTTGTGGGGAGGTCCCTGTGTAACGACCTAATGGCTGGTTCTTCCTTGACATTAATTATCCAATTATGGAACCCAAATGTATCTTACCTGGTGCTTCAATCAATTGCTTGTAAACACTCAGGAAAGCTGCCTCAGCCTCCTGACTTCTCTTACTAAGGGCCACCACCTTTGGAAACAAGAGAGAGAGTCATGTGTAACCATGGCATCTGAGTCTACAAGGAAATATGATCATTTTCTACATGTGCAAACATGGGATGGGGGGAGGAGGAGGGGAAATGAAGGTCAAAAGTATGGAGTTAGAAAGTCCAGGTTCAAATCCTGGCTCCACCGCATTCCAGCTGTGTGACCTTGGGCACGTCATTGGCCCTCCTCTGATCTAACTAAGGTTTCCCTCATCTGGAAAATGGGGGAAAAACAGAACCTACCTCCTGGGCCTCTTCTGGGGACTGAATGATGCTGCATGTAAGTGCTTAGCACCGGGCCTGGCACAGAGTAGGTTGTTAACAGCTATTATTGTTGTTGTTATGAAAGGGTCATGCTGGAGATCCAGATATGACACATGTTCTGGGGGAAAGTGGGACACATCTGGGGAATATTTCTTGCCACTGAAAATTACAGAGAAATTGTTAAAGCTCTCGTGAGATGTCAAACAGCCCAACAAATGCTTCCTGACTGATGACAACACAAATGGCTGGATAATCCCATGGTGAAGAGCTACCTTCATGCATTTGTTCCCTTCCTCACAGACTTTTTCGTTCTGCCAGTGACGTTCACTAAGATGATGTTCCTCAAGTGAAGTTCCTCAAGACATTTCTGGGGCTCAGCACCATCTCATCCCTCTCTGCCCCTGGCTATGAATTCCAAGCTCTGGCCTCATAGCTCCCTTGGTTCTGGCTCTTGGTAGCCAGTCCCCCTGGCATCGTCCTGGGCCTCCCCAGCACATGTTGGCATGAGCCACTAGTACCCACAGGCCACCGTCCCTACATCCTCAAGAACACTCTAGGCGGGGTATCTTTCTTTGCACTGGAACATCTTTATTCTCCCTGACATTGATATACCTCTCCCTCTGGTGCCAACTTCAACGATGGATCTATGGGGAGTCTGTCTCTCTGTCTCTCTCTTTCAGAGGTGGGCTTTTCTTACCAATCCCAGTGATGCCACTTGGAGGAGTGTCTGTTCTCAAGTTCCTTCCCTTGATGTGAGCTCTGTGAGTACACTGTCTGGTGCACAGAAAGTGCTCAACACAATCTGTTGAATCGGCAAATCTAAGAGAGTTGCCCCAACTTTAAGTCCTGTTTGTGACATCATTTTGGAGAAATGACAGGGGCCAATTCTGAGACGGTCCATTCATAGAAGTGGCTAACTAAGGCACAAGCCTTGGAGCCAGGCCACCTCGGTTCAAATCCCAGCTCCACCACTTACTATCTTTGTGTCCTTGAGCAGACAGGTCACGGCAATCCCTGTGCCTCTACTTCCCTCTCTGTAAAATAGGAAATAGTAACACCACACCCTCCCTTGCTGGAAGATCAGATGATTTAGCACATGTAAAGCGCTTTGTAAAACTCATGGGATACATTAAGCCCCATATATGTCACCTCTTGGTATGACCGACCCCTTCCTTCTTGCCTGTTATGGGGACAGGTTCTGTCCAGTATTGGGTGATAAACCCCAGCTGTGCTTATCTGGTGTCCTACGAAGACCACCTGAGAAAGGCCCTGCCTCCACACCTAGTAGCACACACTGGGAAGAGGAATTTGAAAACCACAGTGGTTCCTGTAAGGCCTCCAATATGGCAGCCGCAAATCACAGTGGCTACTGAGCACTTGAAGTGTGGCAAGCACAAATTGAGATGGGCTGTGAGTGCAAAATACACACCAGGTTTCAAAGACAGTACGAGAAAAAGAATGGACAATAGCTCATCAGCATTTTTTATATCGATTACATGGTAAAGTTACATCTTGGATATGCTGGGTCAAATAAAAAAAATAAAAAGTTACATCTTGGATATGATGGGTCAAATAAAATCTCTTATTAAAATTCATTTCACCTGTTTCCTTTTACTTGTTTTTCAATGTAGGTACTACAACCTGTAAAAGTACATCCATGGATCACATTATATTTCTATTGGACAGCACAGCTCGAAGGTTTTACAAAGTCCACAGAGAATTCGTTATTTAAGAGAGGTGGAGGGAAATGTATGGTGGATGTAGAGCAAATGATTTTAAAAAGATCAGTTACAAAAATTCCTTAAGCTCTCTTGTTATTCTGAGAACAGTCTCTGGTCTTTTAAATTCCAGAGGGAATGACAGTCTCTCATTCATTCAACAAACATTTCCTGAGCACCTGCTATGTGCTAAGCATTGTGGGCTGAGAACTCACGGATGGATAATGCAGACTCGAGCCCTGCCCTCATGGGACTCACAGTCCAGTGGGGAGACTGACATCAAAGCAGATTCTCCAGGTAACTCATTAATTACAAGTGCTAAATGCTTCGAAGGAAAAGTTCAAGGGGGACTTGAGAGTGTTTAAGTGGGGAGAAGCTGACCCAGTTTGGTGGATGAAACATTAGGAACTGCCTCCTGGAGACGGGAAACCGGCAATGGCGAACATAAAGAATGTTCCAGAATCTAGGAAAGGGAAAAATCACCAAGTGCAGGTAGATTTTTGATCTTGCTGAGATGGACAAGACACAGTTCTTGTTCCCCTGGGGAATCAGAGCTGAGTGGGAGATACAGCTATGTCCAAGAGGAACCACAACATGGGAGGAGGTGATGCAAACATTAGAGTATTTAGAGTAATGTGAGGAGGGAGCAATTAATTCAGAGTTTGGGGGGGCATCCTTGATGGGCCAATAATAATAATAATAACATATATAATATTTAGCATTTACCATGTCCCAGATGCTCTTACTATCCATGATCATCTCTCTCCATGGATACACCAATCACTAAAGATAGCTGCTGTCATCATCCCGATTACACAGATGAGGAAACTGAGGCTCGATGACACTGAATAACTTGCCAAAGGTCACCCAGTAAGTAAATGGCAGAGTGGGATTCATCCTAGGTCTGGGGGTTCCAATTCCTGCTCTGATCCAGATGCTGGCTCCTTTCTCCTGGATAGAAAAACCATCCCAGTCAATGGGGATAGTCGCTTGGACCCCACGTGCTGCCTCATGACATCATCCATGGCTGTACCAGGTCATAGGCTGCTGTGTTGCTGATCTGGAGCCCAAGAAAAGCCATGAGAAATGAAAGCAATTCATTTCCTGAGCCCTAGATGGAAAATTATCAAAGATCAGCCAGCAAAGTCTGAATGTTTCATTTTACAGTGGTCTATGCTGAGCACGTGTGGTGGATGGGGTTTGGGAAAAGGCATAAGAATGTTCCATTGACTTGGGGCGCCTGGGTGGTTCAGTTGGTTAAGCGGCAACTCCTGGTTTCAGCTCAGGTCATGATATCAATGTCTTGGGATTGAGCCCTGTGACCAGCTCTGCACTCTGTGTAGAGTCTGCTTTGGATTCCCTCTCCTTCCCCCTCTCCCTCCAGCTCACACACACTCTCTCTCAAATAAATAAAATCTTAAAAAAAAAAAAAAAAAAAGGAATGTTCCATTGACTTCTGCAAAGGAACTTTGGGCAGGGGTGGGGCAAATACCAGAAGATTCCTTTGATGTTTCCCTGTCCCTGCCTATAGAACCTTCTGCTTTCTACTCACAGTGCTTATCAATTTGTAAGGGTGTGTTGTTTACCTGTGTGACTGTCTCCTTATGATACCAGTCTGCCCATCAGAGCTACACTGTCCAATACACCACATGTGGCCACTGAGCACTTGAAATGTGACTATTCCAAATTCAGATGGGCTGTAAGTGTAAAATACGGGATTTTAAAGTCTCAGGATGAAAAGAGGGTTGTAAAATAGCTCAGTAATTTTTTAAAAAAAGATTTATTTGAGGGGGAGAGAGAGAGCACGAGCGGGGGACGGGGGTGGGAGAGACAGAGGGAGAAGCAGACTCCCCTGCTGAGCAGGGAGCCCAACCCGGGACTCGATCCCAGGACCCTGAGATCATGACCTGAGCCGAAGGCAGACGTTTAACTGACTGAACCCACCCAGGCACCCCTATCTCAGTAATTTTTTATATTGATTTTATGTTAAAATGATAACACTATGACATATTGGGTTCAGTAAAATATATTATTAAAATTAAATTCACCTGTTTCTTTTTACTTTTTAATGTGGCTATTAGAAAAACTTAAATTACGTATGTGGCTTGCATTATATTTCTACTGGATAGTGTTGGTCTAAATCAAGGGTTGGCAAGCTATGGTCCTTAGGCCAAATCTGGACCTTCATCTGTTTGTGTAAATAAAGTTTTATTGGAATACAGTTGCAGCCATTCTTTTATTTATTGTCTATGGCTGCTTTCATGCTATAATGGCCTAGTTGCATAGTTGTGACAAAGACTCTGGCTGTAAAATAAAAAATATCTGGGGTGCCTGCATGGCTCAGTCAGCAGAGCATGTGACTCTTGGTCTCAGGGTCATTGAGCTTGAGCCCCATGTTGGGGGTAAAGATCACTGAAAATAAAATAAAATAAAATAGGGGTGTCTGGGTGGCTCAATCAGTTAAGCATCTGACTCTTGGTTTTGTCTCAGTCATGATCTCAGGGTCATAGGATGGGGCTCCATGTTGGGCTCCGCACTCAGTGGGGAGTCTGCTTGGGGGTTCTCTCTCCCTCTGCCCCTCACCCCTGCTCACATGCTCTCTCTCACGCTCTAAAATAAATAAATAAATAAATAAATAAATAAATAAATAAATAAATCTTAAAAATAAAATAAAATAAGAAATATTTACTATCTGGCCCTTTACAGAAAAAGTTTGCTGATTCCTGCTTTTGAGACTCAAATCTAATGGTTGGACAATATTTTCAAAAGCAGAGATCAAAAAACATCCTGGAATGGCTCTCAGTTTCAATCAGTTCAAGTTTAGGGCTTCCCACAGTCAAGATGACTTGAAGACAGGGAGCCATGCAGATGCCCTGCCTTGTTCAATCTTGTTTTAGAACAATAATCATGACTGTTTCTAGAAGGCCAGGTCAAAATTCCTAATGGCATTAGGGCCTGATCTGGTGCTGGGCCTAATGTCATTAAGCATCTCTTGGCCTTAG